AAAAATATCAAAGCCATTTGCTTTTCAGGATGTGCCTCATAATATTCCAAAGTGTCCAAAATTACTCTCATATTGTCTCTAATTTGTCTCTTTGGCAGGAATCCATTTTGATCTGGATGAATAAAATTATTCAAATATTTTTTAAGCCTTTCTGCTAATATCGAAGCAAAAATTTTATAGTCTACATTTAATAAAGAAATCGGTCTATAATTCTTAATTTGCAGTGGGTCAGCCTCCTCTTTTGGAATAAGTGTAATATAAGGCTCTGACCATGTTTTAGGTATCATCTTCTTTGAAATAGCTTCATTCATAACATCTAAAAGTGGAATGCTCAATGATTCTTGTAATATTTTGTAGAATTCTGCAGGCAGTCCACCTGGACCTGGTCCCATTATTTTGTTTCTTAAGTGCTTGGCTTAGTTCCATCATTGTTATATTACTTTCTAACATTTCTTCAGTCTCTTTAGATATTTTAGGTAAGTTTGCATTCTGCAAGTACTGTTTAACTTTTTCCTCATCAATATTCTCTTTCTTGTATAGTTGTCCATAAAAGTCTCGAATAATTTCCTTTTTCTCTTTATTGCCATAACAAACTTGACCTTGATCATCTATTAACTGCGATATTTTCCTCGAGTCTTTCTCCTTTCTCAGCTTATATGCTAGCCATCTACCTGGCTTATTTGCATCTTCGAAGTAGTTCTGTTTAGCATTCCTAATCTTCTGTGCCAGTTCTTCTTTCTCTATTAAATCCATTTTATGTTTAGTTATATCCAGTTTCAATTTGATGTCTTTTTTCTGTGGCATTTTCTGTAGTCTTTTGTGTTCGTCTTCCAGGACTTTAATGGCTTGCCTTTTCCTAATATTCTTTTTTCTTATGTAGTCTATCATCAAACCTCTCACATATGCCTTCATTGTGTCCCAAACATTCTGCGCTGAAGTATCTTCTTTTCTATTTTCTTTAAAGAAAAAGGCCAGTTCTTTCTCGAACCATTGTATAAAGTCCTTCTCCTTTAAAATAGTATTATTTAATGTCCATCTCGATCTTTTTTTTTGTCCCTTCCATTTAATTGTCAATGGGTTGTGATCTGCCCAAGTACTTGCTTCAATGTTTATTTCTTGAATACTAGATATTAGTTCTGTTGAAATCTAGATCATATCTAATCTGGACCATGATAAATGTCTATTTGAATAAAAAGTATATTGTTTGGTTTTAGCATTTCTTTCTCTCCATATATCTTTTAAAATTAGTTCATCTGTCATTTTAAAAAAGGATTTAGGAAGTGTCTTTCTGTTGTGCTTTGCTGTTGTTGCTATATAGTCCAGTTTATTGTCCACAATTCCATTAAAGTCTCCCATCATAATTATATTAGCATAGTCCAGTCCAGTTATTTTCATATGTAATTTTTTATAGAATTTTTCTTGTTTATCATTCGGAGCGTAAATTGCAGTCAAAAGTACTTTTATAGTATTATCCATCATTTCCACCATTAATATTCTTCCATCTTCATCAGCGTGAATCAATTTTGCGGGGATGGCCTCTTTAATATATAAAACCACTCCTCTTTTCTTAAATTGAGTCAAAGAAGTAAATAATTTCCCTAGTTTTGGCTGTACTAACAATTGTTCATGTTGTTTTTTAATATGTACTTTTTGTAAGCAAATTATATCAAACTTTAATTTCCCTAATTTATGAAAAATCTTCCTTCTCTTAGCAGCTGAGTTCAGTCCGTTTATGTTCATTGTAACCAATTTTTTCTCTTCCATGATGATATTTTATATTTAGGTTTGGCAGGTCTCATACATCTTGGTTCACGTTGGTCTTTGATAGCCACCTGTCCACCTATTACGCCTTCTTCTTTTTCAATCTCCATTTGTTCCTCTTGGGATTCAGTTAATGAGACCTCTTTTTCTGCCTCTTTCTCTCTCCTTCCAAAAAATTCTGCGTAGAAGAGTTCTGCTTTCTCAATTGAATCAATTCTATATCTCTGTTCTTGCCATATAAACATCAGTCCTTCTGGGATCAGCCATCTGTAATTCACCTCCTTTTTCAATAACACTTTGGTCAGAAATCGATATTCTCCTCTCGTCTCTCTCACTCTTCTAGGTATTTGTTTTAGGACCAAGATTTCTTTACCTTTATATTTCAACATCTTCTCTCTTGCCACTTGTAAAATTTGTGTCTTGATGGATTTTTTAGTAAATCTAATGTGAACTTCTCTGGGTTGGTTATTTCTCATCTCATATCTTGTGGAAACTCGGTATATCTCATCTACTCCATCCATCATCTTTTCCTCTGTTATTTCCAAAGCATCAGCCAAGATTTCTATCATTACCGCAGCCAAGTCTTGCCCTTTTTCTTCCTCTATATTTTGAAATCTGAGATAGAATTCTGACCTCTCCATCTCCCACTTCAGCATCCCACTTTTTTCTTGTTCAACCACTATTAATCTAGTATGAATATTTCCAATCTTCTCCTCTCTTCGTTTACCCTCTTCTTCAACTTTTTGAAGTCTCACCTCGTACTTCACCATCATCTGTTGGATATTTTCCACTTTTTCTTCAGTCTTCCCTGTTCTTTGTTCAATGATGTCTATTTTTATCTTAAGGTCTTGAATTCCTTGCATAATCATCTGTAAAGTTACTTTTTCTTGCTCTTTATCTTGCTTTAACATTACCTGCATTGAACGTTGTCCTCCAGATGGTGAGGAGGCAGAAGTAGATGTAGAAGCACCCGGAGTTATGAGTTTCCTGCTCATTTTAAATGGTTCATAATCTTCAGATTCTTTCAAATTTTAATCCAATTAAAAACGTAGCCAATTATAATCCAGAGTGGAAAAGTCCAGCAGTAAAAAGCCCAGTAGTGAAGGAGAGAAAAAAAAAGAAAAAAAAGAAGAAAAAAGAAAAAATTCTTCAGGTTCTTCCTGACCCTAATCCAATTATAAAGTAGTCCACAATAAAAAATAAAAATAATAATAATAAGAAAACCCAGTAATAATCATAATAAAAAAAAGAACAAAGCAAAAGAAAAAGATTTCTTCAGGTTCTTCACACCTTAATCCAGCTAGAAAATCTCAATTTAAAAAAAGAAAAAAGGAGACCAAAATGATCCAAGAGCATAGATAGAAAAAGCAAAAATCCCAATGAAAACAGAAAAAAAGATAAAAATAAAAATGAAGATAAAAAATTCTAAGGCTTCCCCTTGAAAATAAAAAGTAAAAATAAAGACATTGCTAAAATAAAAATTTACAATAATGCTAGTGGAGGGGGGGGTAGCGAAACTAAAAAAAGGATTAAAGAAAAAGAAACAACACACTGTACTCTGTTTAATTGTCCAAGGCTCTTGTTATGACTCACTTCCCTTTCCCACAGGCTTCAAAGCCAAGCCATAGATATTTAATTGTTGATAGAAATCCAGAAGAACACCTGTAATAATATTCTACTGCGCTCTTCCCTCTATCTTATCAAATTAGAATGTCCTTGAGAAGGAGTCTTTCACAGTTCTCTCCACTTCAAGTAAAATTGCAAGCCTCTAGTTGGCAGTGTTACAAGTTTCTTAGTTCTCACTTTCCCCCCTCCTCTCACA